ACCATCTCTTGTTCCAAGTCAGCCATTTAGAGTATGAAACTGCTCTGATTTCTTTCTTTCTTCACTTAAAGAAAAGCCCCCTCTTATCGAATGCCAACCGTTTAGCTTTTACTATTAAAAGAGTAAACATAGAATCTATCATCCAAATGACATATTTGGGAATGGAAGAGGGTAGCTATTTAAAAAATCATATGTAGTAAAATAATAATAACTTAGAGTTCTGTGAGGCAAGCAGAGTTATATGGTTCCTAACTACTAAAGAGAAGGAAATGAATGCTTATGAAGACCATGTAATGTGCTTAGAGGCTTTATATGTATTATTGTCTCAATTTAAAAACCATCTCTGATGTGGAATGTGGGACCATTTTCAGCAATAAATCTGAAGCTCTGTGACATTAACTCAAGGAGTTAACATGTAATTGTCTAAAAAGGAATTTTAGGAACTCTACTCAGGACAGTTTACAATGACTATTGATTTGGCTATTTGGAGGAAGTGCATTAGATACACATTTGGCCCAAAGCCAAAGGTTAAAATCAATACTTGACGGAAATGATATATTAATAAAATAGAAAGAAGTTTTTGGAGATGAGATTCAATCTGAAACATTATCAAACATTGAAAAGCCAGATTTTGAAGGTTCAACACTTCGGTGAAGGGAACAATTTATCAGCACCCTCAGCTGGTGGACTGCTCCTGGGGTCCCTGTGTTGCAGGTCTGCAATCCTAATGGATGCTTTAGTCAGGCTAAAGTTTAATGCACCTTATAAGGAACTTGGGACTCACCAATCAGCAAATCCAAAAAATCCTGGGTCTGCTTCTACTGGAAATGTTTACTATTCTATGGCAATTATTTTGACAATCTTTTGGGGTTTTTTGGTCTCTATAGGCTAGAACTATAAGGAATTGACTTCTTCAATTTGAATTTTGAATAGTGAGAACAAAATGTGCATTGAGATCCTCTTGTTTCTCTAATGTTTTCTTCCTTCTTTCCTATTTGTTATTTATTTGTTCAATCAGCATTTATTAAATTTTTGTTCAGGGTATCAGACACCATTTCAGGAGGTGGGGATCCAGTGGTGAGCAGAAGACAAAAGTCCCTCTCCTCATGGAGTTTATATTCTGGGACTTGGGGAGACAGATAATAAGCAAAACTATAAATTAACATAGAACATATAAACAGTGTTCAGTGCTGTAGAGAAGAATAAAGAAAATAAGAGGGCTATCAGGCGTTAGTGTTAAGACTGGGTCACGATGATTTCTCGTGATATTTTTAAGAGCTTTTTTTTTTTTTTTTCCTCATGAATTTTTTAGGGGCAAATGTGACATTTAACTTTTAATTCCTCATAACAAGATATGAAGAGTTCCCCACTAGGACATTCCCCTGCTGAACATCTCATTGTCTTAATAGAATTAAATAACTGAAAATTAAATATAGTTTTTAAAGGTTATTTTCTTTAATATTTTGATAGCTAGTACATCAAATAATTCTGTAACTGTTATCTGCCTTGTATTATTTTTTTTAAATGTTAAAAACATACCGGTAATTGGCAGAAAAATATAGTATCTTTCCTAAGGTTATCTATCTTCCATTCTCTCTCTCACCTCACTCTTGCTCTTTCTCTTTCTCTCCCTCTCTTCTGAACTGAATTTACTTTATTTATTTAGTGAATAATTACAATGTACCACTTATGTATAATAGGACATAGAGCCAGGCACAGTTCTAAGAACTTTACTCATAGTCTCTTCACAATCCTATGAAGTAAGTTAACCATCTCAAGGATGAGGGCTTGAGAGAGGTTAAGGAGCTTGCTCCAGTGTGCATACTAGTAAATGAGACAGCCAAGTTTCAAACCCAGGCAGTGTGGCTCCAGGGTCCATGCTCTTAATCAGGATGCTACATAACCCAATATTTTTCCTTGGCTAGGCACATGGGTCAGAATCTACTACTAATTGAGTTGGCAAGGTTCATCAACTTGGCCTTTCCTTTCAAAAGATGTTTATAGCTTTTGTTTGTATTGCCATTTTAACAATATTAGTTTTTCTCATCTGTGAACCTGGGATACTTTTCCATTTATTTGTGACTTCTTTGATATTTTTTCATTAGTGTCTTGTCACTTTTAGAGTAAAGGTCTTTTACCTCCTTAGTTAAATTTATTTGTATTTAATTGTTTTTGATGCTATTGTAATTGAGATCCATTTTTCTCCCCAGAAAATTTGTTGTTAATGTAATACTACTGATTTTTGTGTGTTAATTTTGTAGTCTACAACTTTAGTGAATTCACTGAGTAGACGTACTGGCTTTTTTGGTTGAGTCTTTAGGGTGTTATTGATGTCAAAATCATGCCATCTGCAAATAGAGATAATTTTACTTCTTTCTAATTCTGATACATTTTATTTCTTTTCCCTCCCTGATTGCTTTGGCTAAGACTTCTAGAACTATGGTGAGGAAGAGTGGTGAGAGTGGGAACTCTTTTCTTGTTCCTGATTTTAGAAGAAGGGCTTTCAACCTTTCGCCGTTGAGTATGGTGTTAGCTCTGGACTTGTCATGTGTGGCCTTTATTATGTTGAGATATGTTTCTTTTATGCCTGATTTTTAAAGAGTTTTTGTGTCAAATGGATATTGAATGTTGTTGAGTGCTTTCTTGTGTCTGTGGAGATGACTGTATATATTATATTTTTTTCTTTCATTCTAGTCAATATGTAACACATTGATTTGCATATGTTGAAACATCCCTGTATCCTAGGAAACATCCTACTTGACCATGGTGTGTGATCCTTTTAATGCATGGCTGAATTTGGTTTGATGGTATTTTATTGAGAATTTTTGCAACTGCATTCATTTGGGAATTGAGCCTGTACTTTTCTTTTTTAACAGTAGAGTCTTTTTCTGGTTTTGGCATCAGGATAATCCTGGCCTCATTTTATGAGTTTGAGAGTGTTCCCTCCTCTTTGATTTTTTGGGAAGAGTTTGATAAGGATTGGTGTCTATTTGTATTTAAATATTTGGTAAATTCACCAGTGAAGCCATCTGTTCCTAAGTTTTTCTTTGGGAGGTTTTTGATTACTTTTTTAATCTCCTTACTAGTAATTGATCTATTTTGATTTTCTGTTTTTTTCTTGATTTAGTCTTAGTAAATTGTGTGTTTCTAAGAATTTTTCTATTTCTTCTAGATTACCCAGTTTGTTGGCATATGGTTGTTTTTTGATCCTTTGATTTATGTGGTATCAGTTGTAATGTTTCATTTTTCATTTATACTTGGTTGGTTTTCCTCCTCCTTCCCTCTTGGTTACTCTGGGGAAGGGTTGTCAATTTTGTTTATCTTTTTAAATAACCACACCTTAATTTGGTTGATATTTTCTATTGTTTTTTTTGTTGTTGTTGTTGTTTTCTATTATATTTATTTCTGCTCTGATCTTTATTATTTTCTTTCTTCTGCCAACTTTGGGCTCACTTTGTTCTTCTTGTTCTAGTTGTTTATGGTGTAGAGTTAGGTTGTTTATTTGAGGTGTTTCTTGTGTCTTCATGTAGGCATTTATTGCTATGAATTTGCCTTTTAAAACTGCCTTTGCTACATCCCACAAGTTCTGGTATGTTGTGTTTCCATTTTTGTTTGTATTCATAAATTGTTTTACTTCCCCTTAATTTCTTTGATCCAGTGATTGTACAAGAGGGTGTTGTTTAATTTCCATGGGTTTATGAATTTTATAGTTTTCCTCTTATTGATTTCTAGTTTCATGCCATTGTGGTCTGAGAAGATACTAAGTATATTTCAGTCTTCTTGAATTTCTAAGACTTGTTTTGTGTCCTAACACTGAATCAGTTTATTCATCTCTACAATGAGGTTGAGGTTATATAATAACAACATGTATTGAACTTTTACTCTGTTTTCCACATGTATATTCTCAGAAACAGTCTCTGAAGCCCGTTCTGAAGCCCAGTAGCATTCCCCAGGTAAGGAGTTAGTAAATGGCAGAGCCAGGATTTGAACCCAGCACTCTACATTACCGTTTCCTTTCAACTCTAAACTTCGGTACCATAGGCAGCTACAATGTCTGAGTGAGATGTCTGTGTGGGGTTGCCATTCTGAAGTTTCATGTTAGCAGGTCCTCTTAGAGGTGTCACTGGAGAATTAAACTCTTTTACTCAGGAAAGCTGAGTGAGTTAATGGAATTAGTTTCTGACAAAACTTTTGATTAGAGGAGAATATAAAGACTGGCCTATACAACAGTATCAGGGCTTACATTGGAGGGACAGGCAGAGGATCAGCCTGCACAAAGTGCGAGGTGACTCCGGAGACCCTGGAGTTCCAGGCACTAAGGGAGTGAGGAGACCTTTGCAGAGGTCAGGGTGCTCAATTGTGTTGAACACGGCTGAGAGTTCAGACAAAATTCGAACCGACAAGCCCCAGGAGATCTATCAGTAGAAGGCCGGCTGCTTCCCTAGTGTCTGAAATCACATCAGTCATCTCATTTTGTTTCTATTTAAAAAGGTTTCCCAGGAGTTATCCTTTAATCTCGTCCACAGATGGGGAATGCACCCTCTTTTGGACCCCCGTGTGCATTTCCTGCTCCACATGGCTCATGGAAAGTCTCTTGTCACTGAACTTAACTACCTGAGAGTTAAACCACCGCAGAAATGCTTTTCTGCTGCTGCTAAATATCTCTAGTCTCCACAGTTAGCCACCTTCTGCAACTGGATGTTTAAATCAATCAATAACTCTGCAGTTGCGATGATGCTTTTTGCCTTTGGACGTATTTCACCTGCCTCTGAGAGCTGATGTATTTTTTCTTAAACTTCTTTTTATTATAAAAAAAATTCCAGTCATGCATTCTGGTGGCTGGAAGAGTGAATTAATAGTAGTCTAATCATCCTGGAGACGCAGATGCTTTTGTGAGTTGGCACCGAGGTAAGACTGCACATCTCTGTGGGGATGACAAGTGAATGAGTCTGCTGCTCACTTAACCCGGTGTTCTTTTCTCTCTCTATTTTCTCTCCTAGGAAACAGATGGAGGACTGCTGTGACCCCGCCCATCTCTTCGCTATGACTAAAATGAATTCCCCCATGGGGACGAGCATGTGGTATGATGGGGAATTTTTATACTCCTTCACCATCGACAATTCAACTTATTCTCTCTTCCCCCAGGTTAGTATAGAGTTTGTTGCCTCCCAATATAGTCTTGATTTTATAGGGAAGGTAAAATTAAAAATGCCTAACCAGGTATATTTTTCATCTTCTTTTCTTAATTTTAAATGTTTTTCTTATAGTTGTTATTTTTGTGTGTGGGAAGGAATCACATGATATTTTGATGCAAGAGCAGAGTAGGATACTAAAGAGTTACATGTTCTCTTCTGATTTGAGTTATATGAGTCTGAAGGAAGCAAACAGAGAATGAAAGTAAGAACAGGGAGTTGTGGTATGTCAGAGTTGTGAGGTTGGCTGTAATATGGTCTCAAAGATGTGCAGTACTGGAATGCTGTTTTCGGGTTGATGTTGCTCTCAGAGAGTAGGGACCATAGGGTCAGAAGTTTGCTTCTTAGAGCTCTTGAACCTTCACTGTGTTGTTAGGCTTACTGCTCTGGAAGTGGAGGAGTGGTGGATAAGGGAGAGAGAGAATCTGACCATTTTCCAAGTGGTCTAAAACACGCTCTGCCTATTTAATGTTTTTCTTCTTGGTTTCTTGAGCATTGAAATTAAATGTTTTAGTAAATTATATCTATGTAGCCAGTGGGGGAAAGGAAATCTTTTTGGGGAGCCCTTGTTGGAGAGGGAGTGGATTTTAGGTGAAATCGCTATCAGGGAGAAATGGAAAAATGAATCTTGGCCTCCCCCAAGTCTTCTAGCCACTCTTGGTTTGGCCAGTGTGGTTATGCAGAAGGAGAAGTCATGGTGAGAGCTGGAAAATGGGACTGAACCTCTCATGTATCTGTATTAACAGCAGAGTGTCTTCAAAGGAGGGATCCTGTGAAAACTTGAGGCACAGGCTCTGCTGGATCCAAAGCCACTCTTTGTGAAATAGAGTGGCTATTTCATCCTTAGGTGTTTCGGTTTACTTTAATAAGATGATTTTAGAGTGTAATGATGTTTTATTTTTCAGTAAGAAATAGAAGGTTTAATCATTGCTAGCGTCTGTGTGCTCTCTCCCCTCTTCATTTGCCCTTGGAAGGCTTTCTGGTGTCAAAGGAAAGGATTAAGAGTCACAATCACAGGCTGTCCTTGAAACTAATAGAATATTGTATGTGAAATGTAATTTAAAAAGAAAAGAGTTATAAAATGTGGGGTTGAGTTTTTGTCTCCATCTCTTACAAGTAAATGTCTTGCTGAGTCGCCTAACTTCCGAGACTCAGCTTTCTCATCTGTGCAATGGGGAGAGCAGCCCCTGTCCCAGCACCTCTCAGACTCATGGTCAGGATTAATGTAGATAATTTATGTGCATGTACTTTGTAAACTGCAAAGCATTATGTAAATGTTTTGTTTTAATGCTGTTCTGGTTCATATATTGCATCATCAGATGAGGGAATGGAGACTATAATTATATTAGTCAAGCTTTAGGCAAGGAACAGAAATCTTCCTAGCTATTTTTGCAGAAAGTTATTTCATATGGAGAATTAGGCACTTAAAAACATTGGAAGAATAAAGATGTGGGAGTCGCCAGTCAAGAGGTGGCTCCTGAAATTGCTTAGTTCAAGAACCTGATGCCCTGACTGTGGTGTAGGAATTAGAAAGTCCCAGCAGCTGTTGCCGTTCATGTGGCCCAAACTGCCTCCAACAGAAAGGGGGTCAGGTCGATGGGTTCCAACTCACTTCCTGCTTTCAAATCTCCCTCAAAGGCATCTAATGGGTAAATGAATTTGCATCCGGAATAGTAGTTGCTTATCAGTCCAGGAGAGGCAGTTTTAAATGAAGCTTCAGCTGGGAGCTAGGAAAAGGGTGGAATAGAGGACAAACAAGCCAATCCACAGTATTCCCTGTTCATAACCCGGTATCAACTGGCTATGAAATGAAGAGGGATAAGAAAGCAATTGCTTTAACAGCTCATCAAATAGAATTAAAGAAGTCCAAAATAGGCTTTGTATACATGAAGGCTTATGAACCCACTCTACGCTGGAAAACAGATTTGAAGAAAAGATGGTTAAAGAAATAAAAACTAGTCTCCCATCTTATCTGTCAGTTGCAGCTGTAGGATAGTAGGAAACATTTCCTTTTTAAATTATGTGCACAGAATTCTGTGCCTCTTTGTGCCAGTAAAACCATTTCTTTCTTACTTAATTGAATTTTATTTTCCATCACCATTTCTTAATGATAAAAAAAATGCTTTTTTTCTTAGAAAGCAGAAGTTATGACATCCCTGTCTGTGCTTGCATTCAACCCAGTGAACCACTCCAATGAGTAGATTTTTAAAATAGTTGTGTGTATTTTTCTGCTGAGATTCTGAAACGACTAATTTATAGAAATCCTGGGAAATCATTTTGCATCATCAGAAAAAAAATGGTATATACTCTCAGCACATTATATTTCTTAGTGAAATATTTCTAGTTTGTTATCAGAAAGCTAAGTAGCCAGTTCATTGATGTGTTTTCTTCAATGTTCCTGTGGGAAGGAAGTTGTATATATGCCCATCAGATAGAAAGGCAGGTGAGTGGGCGAGGCTCAGTGTTGTCAGTTGAACAAAGTGTCCCTTCTTGCTATGAGTTTCAGCAAAATCATGCCATATCACTCATTCTCTAACTCAGATGTATAATTTTATAGTACACCTTTAACTATATATTTTAATGTATTTATTTTAATTATATGTTACACTTTTCCCCTAAATGCTCAGTATATATTAGCTATCATCATTGTTTTTATTCCTTTGCCTACATTTATCCACTGTTGTTATTGTTGCCAAAATGCAGTACAAGATGCTTTATGGGCTGTGGAAAGTTAGCAGGTGCTGAATCAGCTCTGGAGGGGCCAGGAGGGTCCCACTGAGATGATGTGCACTTGGAGATGCTGCACTGAATCTCCAGAGTTGCATTTAGTAGCTCTTATATGGATCTCTCATGACTTCCCATAACTTTGTTACTAAACTTAGTCAATTCTGCCTCATACGAATTTATCTATGTTAACAACATGCGATGGTTTTCTTAAAAATCCTTCTCTGCTAATCTCCATAACTCTTGTGAGCTTTTGAGAAACAAGAACAACTTTTCATTTCTGTGCCTAATGCAGTGCTTCCCACTGAAATAGATGTTCATTTCCAGGGGCTCATGTTTGCCAAGGGCTCCCTTTCATGGCCCACCTGGGCTAGACACACTACACAAGAGGCCAAGCAGGACATACAGATGCAGTTGTTTCCAAGAGGGTCTATCTTTTGATGAAATCCTATATAATAAAGAGCTAATATGCAAATGGTCCTCACACCCTCACTCCATCACACCATAACTGCTCAGACACTCAACACTGAGGAGAGAGGAATGGAGACCAGCCAGGCACAAATGAGCCCGATAGAGAGGAATGGGGGCCAGCCAGTCTGCAGCCTGAGAGAGAGACAAGTCTCCCACCCCATGGTCTCAGACACCAGCGGCTGTGTCTGCGGCCCGGGAGAGGGACTAGCTTTCTGCCCCATGGTCCCAGGTGCCTGCAGCTGTGGCTCGGGCAAAGCTGCTTGACCACGGTCCCTTGTGGCTGTGGCCAGCCTGGGTGAAGCCGGCCTGTATCCTGGGTGCTGGCCTGTATCCTGGGTGCCTGTGGCTGGCAAGAGGGAGGGAAGCCCAGGTCCTGAGTGCCTCCGACTGGCCAGAGGAGGGAAACCTGGGTCTCGGGTGCATAGTGAGGCAAAGGCAATTAAGCGTGATCAGGCCAGCAGGAGAGCAGTTAGGGATGATCAGGCAGGCAGGCAGGCAGGTGAGTAGTTAGGAGCCAGCTGTCCTGGATTGCGAGAGGCAGTCAGATATCCCCTGAGGGGTCCAGATTGGAGAAGGTGCAGCCTGGGCTGATGCCCCCTCACCCCCACCTCATGCACCAGGCCTCTAGTATTTGTTGAATATTATTAGGCATGAGGGCAGAATTTTAACCCTCAAATAGGTTTTCTAGAGTATTTTGTGTGTGTTTGGGGGAGGGGGGAGGGAAACAATGTGATGATCTTTCTACTTTGAGACTCTCCCCACCCCCTGGGATGGGGTCAGCTCCTTCCTCTTTTGCTAAAAACAGTCCCTTTTAAGCCTGCATGGTCTCATGTTTGTAGATATTTCTGAATAAATGGTATTTGACCTAAAACATTTATACTCAGAAAGAGCATAAATTACCTTAGAAATGAGTGCGGGAGGAGCAGGAATGTTAGAAACCACAAGAGTGTTGATATAATTTGAAAAATATTTCCTTTTGGTGTAATAAAAACACAGTTGGCTCATCATTCTCTTACATTTTGCTGAATAATCATGTGATATAAATCACAAACTAGTAATTTTTTTCTCAGAATAGCTATCTAAGGCCATGTCTAAAGAATCACAAAACATCATTTAATGCATCCCAAATGGACACTCATTTCCAGCTCTTCTGGTTGCTATAGCTCCCTGACATATTCCATTTAGCCTGGACCCACAGTGCTCTTGGCCCTTAACAACCAAGCAGGAACGTTTCAAAGTAGTTTTTGTTGAAGTGATTTTGTTATAATGAAAATACACATTTTCTCCCCTTCACAGTGATGTGCTCTCTAGAATCCTTTCACCTCCTGCATATATACCTGAATCACACAGCAATTCCCCCCCCCCCAAAGAAATTTGGATCATCTATATAATAAAAGCCTAAGCAACCATTATGGCAGAATGACCAGAATGACCAGTTGCTATGATGCGCACTGACCACCAGGGGAAGATGCTCAACACAGGAGCTGCCCCTTGGTGATGAAGGCACTTCTACAGTGGCACTTCTAGCCACTCAGCCAGAACAGGGCTCACAGCTGAAGAGTGTAGCAGTGGTTGCGAGAGCCTCTCCAGCAGTGCTAAGGAGCCATGAGCCGAGCAGTAAGGAGTGAGGGATCTTGGATTGTGAGAGGAATGTCTGACTGCCGACAGTTGTACATCCCCTGAGGGGCCCAGATTCCAAGAGGGTGCAGGCCAGGCTGAGGTCTCCCTCCAGTGCACAAATTTCATGCACCGGGCTTC